AACCAGTATGACTGGCCTAGAACATGTTATGTAAGTGGCACTGAAATATTGCGGGCTTCTATTTGCTTTTTGGAGCTTCCGTGGTGCTGGTGGAGCCTGCTTCAGCCAACGAAAATTTCTTCACTTTCTGCATTTCAACAAAATGAGGGGGATTTAGAGAAATTTGAACAAGACAATACATCTTATAAGACAGAAATATACTTCGCAATGACTTGCCTGGAGGAGAACATGAGACAGGAAAAGACAAATTTAGTTGGATAATAACAGCAAAAATACATCCACACAAAGACCAGTTGCATCTTCTTTATGAAACAAACTGATCGTGACTAATATAATTATTTCTGTTAGCACCCAATTTCTGCAGAGAGTCTAGCTACATTGTGATGTAGTAACTTCTCATGGCCACAGGGGGGAAAATCGAAAGGTGCATTCCATACAATGTAGGCAGATGGATAATGTGACAATTTTCATATCAAAATCGGTCATATATACATTGAGAAACTGAAACTGATTTTTGTTGTTGTGAATGACACCTACCTAGTTTTTTTAAAGAGAATGGCGACCTAGGGTTAGACTAACTGTGGGACCAAGAAAGTGGACAAGAGGAGCTGAGAGGCGAGAAAAACAGGAGGCGTTAAAGGTTTGCAGAGGATTCGGTTCCGGTTGTTCAGCTACCATTGATTGCATCATTGTTTTTTTTCTCTCAATGTATAGATCGACTTCTGATTTAAAAATGTCATGACATAATAGGTGCATCTTGTGTTGTCAATTTATTTTGCATGTTTTGATAACTTTTTGGAACTCCGCCTATGTTTTCTCGACATAGCCAGTCCCAAGCCCGGGTAAAGGAGGAGGGTTGTGATAGGCTTGGCGAGCCAACGTCAAAACTCAGCCACTCTTATGGAGATGAAACCCAAAAGAAAGAGTTATGAGTTTCGGCTCTAGCCTACCCCAACTTGTTCGGGACTAAAGGCTTTGTTGTTGTTGTTCATAACTTTTTGGAGTAGTCATTCTGCTAGTTTAGATAACACATATCCACCTGACAAACATATTTTAGACAAGTTGCTCTCCAATAATATGGCGTCATTTAACTAGCGGTACCGAATATCACACAATCCTCAAAGGAGACAAACTATTAAAAGACTTTGGTATTTCCACTTTGATTTTCAAAGGGGAATTACCTCGGGTACTAATAAATTGGTACTACTAGCTAAGTGGTACAGACAAGTAGTTTCAGCCTTGTAACTCCGAGTACAAACAAGTGATTTAACTAAGCGTTTCTAACTTCTCACACTTAACCAGGCTTTGATCGGCAAGTTGATATCTCTGCCAACCAACAAAAGTATGTATTCCTTTAGCATGCAGGATTGTTCCAACTGGACAAGGAATCATGTGACATGGTGCTCATTTTGCTGGAAATTACACGGAAGCACATGATGTGAGATACACATGTTTGAGAGCTATGGAGTCCCACCACAATTGTCCATCCAGAAAACAGGTAGGCACAAAGATAAGATTACTCAGTGGTGGGTGATATCTTCCTTCCAAGGAATTATTAAGATGTAAGACCTTCAGTACAGGATCACAAATCATAGTTGTATCGGCAAGAATGAGCAAAGGGTCCACCAAACGCAAGGCGGCGCTTGAGCCTATAATTACCTTTTGGGCGATGCACTCCCGGAGCGCGTCGAGGAGGGCGAGGCACTTGTCGCGGTCGTAGGGGTTCTCGGCGGCGCAGTTGAGCAGCGCGAGCGCCTCCTGCGCGCACACCGGCCGCGGCGTCGTCGCTTCCTTCTCCATGCCGATCCAATCCACCGAACCAACAGCACGCGGGAGAGATGTGGCTCGAGGGGAGCTGCTACTACCTGGAGACCGTGGCGCTGCTTCGTAATTTATTCTAGGGTCGGCCCCGGCGACCAAGCAGCTGCCGGTTTGGTGTGTCGGCGGCGGCTTGGGCGAGAAGAAAGAAAACCAGCGGCGCTCCGGCGGCCGCTGATGGCATAGAAGGAAGGATTTGGAAAGCTCTCGAGTTTTCCCCTTTCCGAAGCCCGACCCGCTAGAGCCCAGATCCAAGTAGAAAATGAGGCCCAGAATTTAAGAGGCCCGTTATGAATGTTGCAGACGACCGATGGCCCATGTCTTGTCACTGTCAGCATCATCATCATTGCTCAGCAAAATTCTACCTACCTCTCTCCTCCCTCCAAGCAGTTCGGAAACCCCGCAACAACCCAAGCAAAGCGGCCAGCGCCGTCTGGAATTTTCCGGGGCGGCGCTAGGGTTTCGGATGGAGCCCGAGGAGGCGGAGGCCGTGCTGGAGACCATCTGGGACCTCCACGACAAGGTCAGCGACGCCATACACGCCCTCTCGCGCGCCCATTTCCTGCGCACCGTGCGCCGCCGCGCCGGGGGCAAGCCCGCGGGCGTCGTCCACATCAAGGGGGTCCCCGCGGACGGCGACGAGGCGGCCGACCTGAATGCGGTGGCCGAGGAGGCCAGGAGCCTCCACGCTATCCGCGCCGCGCTCGAGGACCTCGAGGACCAATTCGAGTGCTTTCTCGTGAGCCTCTCAAACCCCTCTCCTTATCCCCTGCTCAGACCCTCACTCTTGTTCGCGTGGTTTGATCTGTACTGTGTTCCGCGCGTCGCCTTCGCTATATGTTGATTGGTTTGAACCGAGTGCCGAAGTGGTTAGTTTGGTTGGTAGGATGTTTCTGTAAACTGTGGAGAGGCTGGCTGTGGGTAGAAATGTTGGTAAATTCAACCGACCGGCTATTGAAGCTTGAAAGCATGGTCGGAATTTGGGGTATGATTTACAATCTGAAGTGATTGGTCTGAATATACTAATCTCGTAGTGTCCATGCTGGTTTTGGAAGAGGGAAATCACCCTGAACTAAATCTGCAGATAGTTCTTTCAGACATCGCTAGTATGCCTTGGGATGATTTGGCCATGTCGATGTTTGCACCGGTTGACGATAGGTCTTTAATCAGCAAGGATTTCTCTGAAGGTTAAACTCATCTCGAATTAATAGTTTTGACAATATGTTTTCCAATCAACCTCGAAAGAGCAGGAGCACTGTTATTCTGTTAGAAGGAAAGTGTCCCATTCGATTAAGAATGACTTGCATTTTGATAAATATGGTAAGTATCTGTGAAAATTATGTGTCTCGTTTTGGTTTTCCAGACTCAGAACTGGATAACCTTGTTTTCTGTTGAACATAGGTGCCGGTGTTCTTACCACACTGAACTGGTTGTTTAGAAGATTTGTGTTTCCAATGGTTATATTTGTGTCTGCCGCTGCACCGTCGACATGGACATTTATATCCTTGTTAAATAAGATGCGCTTGTCTGCACCGTGATTTAACTTAAATTAGAATATTCTTGTTTGCACCATGATTAACTAAGGCAATATCTTTGTGATAGGGTATGTTATTGCCTCTCAGCAGGGCAATATTGTAGTGTGTTTCTGCATGTTGTAGTTCCACAAATGTGAATAGACCGCTAGATTACAATTGGGCACATCTATCACCCATAGATAAGAGTTCAGAAGTCTCCCCTCCGAAATGATGATATTTTTTAGTTGTGCATAGGTTGTTTTACTTATTTCAGAAACCTGAGTGCTCCCAAGCTGGCTGTGGAATTTCATAATGCATGCAGTGATGTATATTCATGGAGTGTCTGACTTGCAACGGATGCAAGTTCCTGGTTGATTATCCTGAAGTGGACCAAGTAAACAACTAAAAAACCTATACTAATTTGTCAAGCTTTTGCAGAAATGAACCTAAGTACTAGGTAGCGTTCTTTTATCAAAAGGGAAAGCACCAAGTTAGTCAACAACTGAACGTTTGGGCGAGTTAAAAAAGACACTGAACGGATGAATTTAATAAGTTGGAAACTCAAATCTCTAGATTCTCTTTATGTTCAGGCATCCGTGAAGTACCATGATTAATGCTTGAATTTCATGTCTGCACTGTGTACTTATATATTATACTCAATGTTCTTGCAGGCTGTTTGTTCACAGCAACAAGCAGAACGAGATATTGCATTAGCAAGGCTGCAACAAAGTCACATCATGCTTACCATAAGATTAAAAGAGCACCATGGGAATAATCACAAAGTCATAGATGAGGCGTTGGATTTCGTCCACAATGTCTACCATGATTTCTGGTCTTTTCTGTCAGTAAACAAGCCTGAGAAATCAAGAACTCATTCTGGCGCTAACAGTACCAAGGAGACGGGAGATGGTTCAGATTTCTTAGGGTGGATGGTTTCTTCTAGTCTTGATGTTGTCAGGAACAGTTTCAATATGAAAAATATTGGTGGTTTTCTAGGGAACAGTGCAGTGCTTGCTGTTGGCATGATTACAATGTTGCAGCTGCATTTGTCGTCTTCTGGAGAACAAAGTTCATCTTGTGGTAAATACAGCTACAGAAGGATCAATCGCGATGATTCTTCACGGTCTCTGGCAGGGCGTAGTAGGATGAGTCATCTTGATGTGTTCTTAGCCAAAAGTTGAGAGGGACTTCTGCCTCGCCTTTCTGATACGTTGTTTGTACGTATTTTTGTTAGCATCTTATCTGCCATTTTGAAGGAATTTTCTATTTTCTGGGTGCCCATTGAGTTTGCATTCTAGGTATGGATCGCGTTAGCTAGGCTAGCTTACCTCTGCTATTTTCAATTCCTTGAAATGGACTATTGTAATCCTTGTTGTAAGCAGCAAGATGTTGTATTCATGTGAATCTATTGTGTGCTCTGTTGCCAGTATATGCAGATCTCTGGCTTTGGTTGTACAATCTACATTGTTGCCCGGTTCATTAGATTGTTTTCTGGTTTCATGCTTGTGATGGTCTGTGACTTAATTGCGGATCATGTGATTTGTTTGTTCCCTGTTTGCTTCTTCAGCTTCGTACAGCTAACCAGGTGAGGATTTTGTTGGATTTTTAGCTTACTCTTTCGAGAAACCAGATTATGTTGGATTTTTGTAACCCTGTGAATGCAAATCAAAACCTCGACTCATGAACTACTTTTTGTCAGGTTTTGTCCATGTTAAATTTTACTTGGGCGTTTTCATAGGTATTACGAGGATAAGGCCTTTTGCATTAGGGTTCTGAGTGTCGGCTGAAGTTGAGCTTGCAATCTAGGTGCAGAGTGGACATGGTACCTAGTTCATTAAATGAGAGCTTCACGCTAAAATTGCTCAATTTGGGCTTTGTTCGTTTGTGTTAAACGGAGCAAGAATTGATGGGTCATCCTTTTTTTCAAATGCCGTGCTTCACGTTAAGGCTAAATGTTGGGAGTGGTTAAGCTTAGAAAGCTTGACATCTCCCAATGAGCGGGCAGTGGAGGCCTCCATCAAAGACTGGTGGATCAACATGCTAGGGCCTAGGGCACGCAACAAATCTACTCAGCCGAGAATCGCCTTCGCCAAGTTTTAAAACGAGGCCAGCACCTGGACAATTGCGGGCGCGAAGCGCACCAGGGAGACACCATGCCAGGAGAGTATTCATTTTTGCGAAGAGTTTTTTTTAAAAAAAGAAGTCTATGAGCATCAAAATTTGTACTAAGCTTAAGACACTTATTTTGAGACGGAGGGAGTAGAATTTGAGCTTTGTTGGAGCTAACATGTATCGGAGCTACGCTAAAAAGGTTGGCTCATTTTCTGTCATGAGCATCAAATGAGATTCAGACTTGACGCACTTCCCTTGAAGTTGATCTCAGATGACTTGACCCGCACTGCCCGCCTGCCCGTTGACCTGCTGACGTGGCAAAGGGGCCAGACGCCAGGGACCCTGGCGTCTGGCCCCGGTAAGTGGATAACCCCACCGGGAGAGTGTGTGGGTCCCATCCCACACACTTTCCCCAATCCAGCCCGAGCTTGAAGAAGAGCTTCTGCCCCCCCCCCACTCTCTCTCACTCCTCAAGCTCCCCCCTCAAATCCTCTCCAAAAGGTGCTTCCCTTAGGTGGATCTTCCCATCACTTTGTTGCTTGTGGTAATCTCCCTCAAATCATCCAATTATTTTTTGTTAAGTCTTGTTATTTTGGTTGTATTTTATACATGTTGGTGGAACCCTAGTTCATGTTTTCTCCCCCTTATGTTAGTGTGAATGGCTTGGTTAACTTTGATAATATAGTGCTATGCATGGTGTGTAGTAGGAATATATGTTTGTTGAGTAGAAAGATTGGGGGTTAGGGTTAGTTAGTGATTAGGGTTAACTTTGCTTAGTGTGTGTTAATTAGTGATACTTTTGTGGACATCACCAATAATTTAGTGTTGATATGATTTGGATATAATAAGATGTATTTGGATAAACACCAATTCTCATTGAAGTCTTAAATGCATTCATGTTATTTTTAGATGGAGAGACTTGTTAATGTTCATTACATTGACAAGGAGGCATTCTTGAGTAACAATGCCGACACGGGTGAGGAACCATTGGTTTTTGATACAAGCCCTAGCTATGAGGATGTTGTTGCAAAAGTGAGACAAGTCTTGAAGTGGATGGACACCAATGTTGATGTTAAGTTAATAGGAAGGTATGATGTTGGAGTTGGAGCCAAATCTCGCTTGAAAAGTATGCCTATCACCTCGGATTTGCATTGGGATGTATACAAGGAAAAAGTATCCCAATCGGAAGACAAGTCACTTGAATTGTTTGCCACCAAGGTTGAATCTCCTCGGTTTACCTTTGATTTGAACCGGCATGTCTCTTCCCCAATGGATGACATGAGCGAGAGGACAATGGTGCCACTTGTTGAGCATAGGGTTGTGGTTGATGCCCCCAATGTTTATCCCCCACCACGT